CAGCTCGAATGCAAGGTCTATGACCTATGTTCATAACCAGGTACTCAGAAAAAATAATATACATCCTTAAACTATATGATATCGTGCACATTTGATAAATTAATTTAAAAGGTGAAGTTTCATATCAGAATATTTTTAATCATTTCTCAGAAATTAGGTAAAACTTTATTTATATGAGTAGGAAGCACACTCTGAACTACAAACGTTTCGTTTCTGAAATTGCGAAGGTGGAGCCAGTATTTTTTTTAATATGCTGGCTAATATACTTTTAATATACGTTGACTTTCAAGTAAAAATCTATTTGACGTCGTTTTCCAAGAACAATATTTTTTTAAAAAGTTAAAGTTCAGTTTTTAAGGTGAAAGTTTTGGTGACTTCTTAAAAAAAGTTCAAATTTAAATGTCACCAATTTAAAGATAGACACATTTTAAAAATATAGATTTACTAAAGAAAATACTAAAAATATAGGTTTCGTGGAGCAAATTAATTTTAAAACATTCCTTGTAAAAGCTCAAGCACGTTTTCTTTCGAAAAAAAAAGAAGAAAAGTTTTTATTTGTTAGTCAATTTTTGAAAAAATCTTATGCAAATTTTGAGACACCTTTTTTGAAACTGACATTCACAAAGTTTTAAAGATGTATGTTTTTTCGACCATTTAAATATTACATTGAAAAAAGAAATCTGGTAAAACTATCAGAATATAGTAAAATTTACTGTGTTTCAGACTTTATAGAAACATCATAAAGCTCAGTAATTTTTACCGCATTGCTTTAGTAATGATCTTGGCAAAATTTACAACAAAATAAGGTCTTAAAATTTGAAAGAAATGACGTAGAAATGAAGCAAGAAACTACACACGTATGATTAAAATTTGGGAATTTTATCATGATACCTTAGAGCATGGTATAAAAAACATTTGTTCGGTTAAATTTACTTTTCATACTCAATGTGTAATAATAAAAACTATAATTTTGAAAACCGGAATATTTTTGTAACCAAGATTACGGTGCTTTTTACCAGAAATGTTAGTACAATACAATACGGTAATTTTACCAGATTTTTTTCTCAGTGCAATGTTCCGCGAAATGCTAGATGTTAATTAAAAGCATTTATATCCTTACTCTTATGTGTAATACTTATTCTTAATATGTAGATTTGTATGCATGAGGAAAAAAAAATTTTTTTAAAAATAATTTTTAGTTCTATTTAAACATTGTAACTTTAAAAAACAACAAAAAAGATTCTTATTTTAATATGGTTAAAAATACCGAATTAAATAAGTTAAAATGACTTATTTCTAAGAATGTTTCGTGCACGTATGATTTAAAATAGAAATAAAATGGAGGAAACACTTATGTAAATTTATTTGTTGCCTTAATTATAGAATAGAATAGAGAAATAATAGAATAGTAGTATACTTAATATAAATTATGAATTATAGAATATTTCATCGAAGACTTAATCGCTTTTGATACAAATTCTACATCATCTACAATTTCAGTATTCTGAAGTTTTGTTTTTCATTTCTAATTTTGACATTTGTTATTCATACATTTTACAATTGCTAGAAAAGAGCTTTTCAAAAATATTAAATTCATATATATCCTATATACCACTTCATAATTTTTTTTCGTGGATACTAGCATAATAATTGCATTGAGCAAAAATTTATTTTTCTTTTGTATCATTTTTTATGTAAGTTTTTGCTTATGTTATATTTATTTATTTCATATTAGTTTATTTGCATACTAATAAGTTTTCATTTTATTTTTAAAATATTTTTGTTACTTACGGTAATTAAATCTTTTTACCCTAAATTTAACACACATTCCTCTTTACACAACCTTTATTTATATTTAATTTATTGTGTCTAAATAAAAAATAATTTTAAAGGAACAAATTTTTTTTAATGAAAAGTAGTGGTAAATTTCTTTCTTCTATAAAATTAAATGATTTAAAGTTTTTTTATTTGTTAGTGAGTATTAAAATAATTTTAATGAGGAAACTTCAAAGAATTTGAACATTTCTCAAAACAATAACTTTACATAAATTTAAAACCCACTTTTACAATAGAGCACTCTTCAAACCATCTACCTGCTGAAAGTTTCGATTATGAAAAATTCCTTTCAAAAGTGAGCTTATTAAATTTCGAAATTATGACACTTTTAAAGAACTTCTTAACGGTCATTTTTAGAATAAGATATGATTTGACTCTAACATGTAAGGCATCATTTTAAAAATAGAGCTCTATTGAAACTATTTGTTTACTAAAAATATAAATTTCGTGATTCAGATTCGTGAAATTAATATTTAAAACGCTCCTTGTAAAATTTAAAGCGCATTTTCATAAAATAAAACTCGACATTTGTCTGCCATTTTTGAAAAAAGCTTAACTCTTATACAAATTGCTCGACCACTGTACTGAATATTGACATTCATATAATACGAAAACATATAGGTTTCTCTGAACATTTAAATATAATTTTCTAAAATGTCCCATGTACGTTGCACTGAAAAATATTCTGGATCAAATTATAGTATAAAGTACCTGCATTTTTTATACATCATTCGTAAATTCTCTTTTATCATAAATCCACTTTTAACGCTAATTATTATGCCGTAATTTTACAGCAATATTTATTTAATTTGATTTATTCGTGATTTTACGGTACTTATTACTGTTAAAATTAATTTTAAAAAATTTTAAAAAAATAATAATTAAAAAAATATGATATGCCATAATTTTAAAGTAATATTTATTTAATTCGAGTGATTTGTGATTTTACGGTAATTATTACTGTTAAAATTACGACAAATCATTTTTTTTATTCCGTAACATGTTGCAGTAAAAATGTATTTAACGGGAAAAGCTGTATTTTTTACCTTAATTTGATTTTTTATAGTGTAGGTGTTAATTGAAACACTTGGCGTGTATTCTTGATAAAGAAAAATTATAACTTATTTAAATAATTTTCAGTTAAATCTAAACTTTGTAACTTTGAAAAACAATAAGAAAGAATCTTCTTATTTTAATATGGCTAAAAATGCTTAATTACTGTTACAAAAATTTATTTATTAGGTTTCTTGCAGATATGGTTTTGAATATTAATTAAAAAAATCAAAACAATCATGAGAACTTATTTTTAAACTCAAGTAGTGGTTATAAAACATTTTATCGACATCTTAAAACTTTTTTTATAAAAACACATTTTATCCATCTACAATTTTAGTTTCCGAAGGTTTTATTATTTTGGAAATTGTGATTAGTATGTTTTAAATTTCAACCAAACATTTTAAAATTTTAAGCTTTAGAAGTAAGTTTCTCAAAATAAGAAGTAAGTCTCCTTTTATGAATTGATTTTTTGGCATACACTAACCATTCTAATTATATAAACTACAGAATTATTCTTCAATATAATTTATTCTTCTATTTATGTAAATTGTCTATTTATTTCTTATTAATTTATTCACTTGCCAGAAATTTTTTTAATTTGTTATTATTGTAATAAAAAAATATTGTTGACATTTTTTTTAAAATCATAACATATCTCTACTTTTATAATGTTCTAAGTCTTATTTATCATATTTATGCAACTCATTTTACTGTATCTCATGAAAAATTAGTTTTAAAAGAACAATTTTTCAAAAATGAAAAGTCAAAGTTAATTCAAAAATAAATAATTAAAATAAATTTAGAAAAAAAATGGAAATAGAATAACATAAAATTATTATAAATGAAATCAAATAATCAAAGTTGTAATAAATCATAATACATATGAAATAAATGAAATAAAATAATATGAGATTTAAAAATAGATATAATATTAAATAAAAACAAAACATGATATATTATAAAATGAAATAATTTAAGTTTTTAATTGTTGCTTTTGTTGTTTTAAGTCTAGAAATTTTGTTATTTTTTGAACACTTCCAAAGTTTAGTTTATTTTCTAAATAATTAAATTTATATATTCAGTATGCTTTTTTAAAAGATTTTAATGCCAAATTTAATGACACAAATTCGGGTGAATAACGTATATTTTTTTCTTGAATTATAATTTCTCTTAGACTGCTTGACTTACTACATAATGAATTATTAATTAACTATTTATAGTCAATAAAAATACAGTATATCGTAATGAAAGAAATATTATTTTTGTGTTTGGAAACCAACTCCTAAATAAAAAAAAGTAAAAACGTCAATTTATAGGCAATTTATTATATTTTTATTAAATTAGATGTCCTATTTTGAAGACTATTTTACTTATTCATGATTATATTAAATGAAGTGATACTTAGTGTTAAAGATTTTATTGAGTAAAAACAATGTTTAAAATCGCAAATAGTAACATTTATTAAAGCTTATATACGTTTTGATGTCGTATAGTACATCTTCATCAGTAGAATAAAGCTAGTGGACACTAACTATTCGGATAGAATAGCCAGATACGGTAAAAAGTGTGAAAACATTAAAAATTGTCAATTGAAAAGATTTTTAAAAAAAATATCCAAATATTTGATCAATATAAAGTGATCATCAACTAATGAATATTTGTTTTTAATGAAGTGAAAAGCTCTTAAATCCTGTTCAATATATGAAATACATTTAAGAATAATAATGGTAGTTAAAAATGCAGCAGTGTAAGATTAAAATACATAGAAAAAATTTCCGACCCAAAGCTCTCGTATATACTGAAATAAATACAAGTAACTACATAAATATAAGTAAAATGTGCATTATATCAAACTGAAGCTTGTATATGTTTTTAAAAGTTTTACTATTTGTGGTATTTTAAATGTTCTTTTTTACTTAATCGTTAATATAAACTCTCATTATCGTTATATTAATTCTCGTTCGTTAGAAAGTGTTCCCTACAATTTTTCTCACAATTTAATCTTTCCTAAAATTTGAAAAATTTACCTTTTTTCTAAAATTTGAGCACACTGAAAAAACTATTAATTAAAAAAGAGCATAAATATCATCAATAGACTCATAACTTACCTTTATTCATTTAAGCATTCCATTAATAATCTTTTTTACAGGCGAAAATCTTTTTTTCCGTCCAAGCAGACGATATTTTATTTTTCACGCATTCATAATGTTCGAAATTTGAATGATATCATAATCCACAAGTCAACTGATTTCAACGAAATGGAACAAATTCGTAATTTAATTTTAAAACTCAATTAAAGATTAAAATCGTTTTATCAATATCCCATGTCCTCTGATAATTTCCTTATCAAATCAGCATCAGAAACTGAAGTGAAGCCAAACAGTTATTCCACCGTTTTGCACCGTGACCAGCATAGCATATCGTTTGCGGTTTTTGTTTTGTTCTTCAGAAGCAAGTTAGAAATTCGCATTATCGTCACGCTCTAGTGTTGCGCACCAAGAGAATGGACCTATCATAAGAACTCAAAGAAACACTGATGAAAAACCTTCTGAAAAGTGTTTTCATTTTACTTTGATTTGCTTTTTCACACACGAATTATCATCCCTCAAAAGAAAGAAGAAAAAAAAAACAGCAGTTAGTTCTGCATCACTTTCGCGGGTATTTAAAACACCGAATTCGGGTTTAATATCTATTGTCGGAAAGCTGAGAAAAGCGAAATCATTTCTTTGAAACGTCTAATTTTCTTTTGTTTCTTTAAATGAATACATAAGTACTTTTTGTAAATACAAATGGCGTCGACATTGCATGTCGGATGGATCTCATTTTCAGTCGTTTTCACAAAGCACTTTCTTCGCACAATCTCTTTATAAACTTTCCATTAAAAACAATATGTAATTTAAAAGACATTTTACTTTATGTTAAAATTCGAAACACTAGTTACAATAGTAATCAAGAAAGAGATCAGATGTTATTCCTTTTATTTCAATTACTTCCGCATTTTTCATAATTCTTTCATTCATAAAAGTTAATTAAATCCGGGAAAATAGACATTTAATAATGTGAAATGCTCGAATTTTTTACGAATACTGCAAATGAATGTATTTCTAAACGAAGAAAGAAATTCTGGTAAAATGTATGGTAATGACACTTCTGGTATAGAAGACCTATGATTCCGGTTAATAAAACCAAGGTATACGGTATTCAAGCCTTTATTTGGTAATTTTGATCCGTCTGCTTACATATCATAATGGTTTACCTGAAATTCTGGTTTTTAAAATTATAGTTTTCTTTACCACACATTTAGTAAAGAATATAAACGAATAATTAAATATAACAAAATAAATGGCTCTTTTTCAATACTCTTAGGTATCATTATAAAATAACCAAATTTTATCAGATTTACCCAATTTTATCACATTTTATAAAATCATATTTTATTGTTAATTTTAACAAAATCATCCCAAATGCGCTGCGGTTAAGATTACCAAGCTTTTTAGTGTTCCCATAGAGGCAGCACACTAGAGCTGCACAATGGGCTGTTGGCGACAGTGTGGGAAACATCCCTGAAGATGATCTGGAGACAACATGCACACGTCACATCCCGTTTTACAGGGAGGACAAATGCACACACCATCTATCCATCCGCAGATCGTAATTTTGACCTGAATGAACATGATCAATCTCCGATTCAGTACTCCCATAGGTATTGATTTGTTATGGGAACTTGGTGGACTTTGTGACCCCGACTGATTCAGTCCTCACGGGGAGTTTTTGCCAGTGGGAATCGAAATACGCTGACACGGGTCCAACGCCCTACCAGTCAGACTGTCACGGCCTTAATAACAAGGTTTAATTTTACTATATTCTTCACCATACTTTTCTATGTAGTATTCACCATACTTTTCTCCTCCCTATATGAGTTTAATTTTTCCTCCTTACTAAAATTTGTAGTTAGTTGTTACTATTTAATTAAAAATGTAAACTTAGGTGTTATGAATTATTAAGTAATTATTATTAATTAATTAATAATTAATAACTTTTAATAATAAATTAAACTTCAGTTGAAATGATTATTAAAAGTTGTTTATTTTATGTGTTACTAATTTTTCGTAATTCTAGATTGTTACTAGTTAACTCTTACTAGTTAATCTGTTACTAGTTAATCTTTAGTTAAGCATTACTCATTCATTCTTATATTTAGAATAAAAACTATATTACACTTTAAACGTTATTTAATTTAAAATTTGCAGACATTTCAAATAGTTCATACTTTAATTTGCTTAAGCGGAAATAGTTTGAATTTATTATTACCACGCAAATATTTCATATACTGAGTTATGCAAGAAAATGTTTTGTTAAACCCATATATCTTTTTGCAACATTCTTAACTATCGTTTGATTAAAATTTCACTATACTTCACGTCATTTATTATTTAAATTTGTCTCAGGTGAGTGGCAACATGAAATAAATTATCTTATACGGAAATCTAAAAACCATCATCCAAGCAGATAATTTCTAGTTTTCCTGTTACCGATTGCAAAGGAACACGCATCAAAATATTATTAGTAAAAATTAATTACTCGTCTATTGATTTTTATCATAGCTTGAGAGAAATTTAAAAGAAATAACTATTAAACTTTTTTACTTAGAAGGCACGTGACTCTTTTTTTTTTCTTTATATAATTTAAAGAGAATTTCAGCTTTTGAATGTACTGCGCACGAAATAAAAAACGGAATGCTTAAGTAACTTTCGATCTAATTTCATTTACGAAATCTGGCAGCAAAGCGTACTTTCTCTAAGTAACTCTGCTTCATTTTTGACGGATACGGACTTTTGACCATCTAGAAGGAAGATATGCACAATCTATAAAAGATGATTTGGCCATCATACTGTTAATTTTACTTTTTTCGTAATATTTCGGGAATTGCTTGAACAAACAGGGGCTCTGAGATGGCGAATTAACACTAAGTTTACGATAAAGAACATTTTTTAACTTTATAGTTTTAAAACGGTTACAACTTGTATGGTTAAAAAACCATCAAAGCAAAAATATGCAGTTTTTTAACCATTTACATCAATACCATTCAAAACCATAAAAAAGAATTTTAACTGGATATTGGAGTTCGGCTTTTCGTTAGGTATCAGGAATTGGAGTTTAGTTGTAGTTGAGTAGTGTTTTATAAAATGCACCATCGAATATGGTTTAATTAGTTTACTTGGTTGCTTTGTTTCACTTATCATACATTTTTGCGTAAAGCAGCTTTATGGAGTTGACATCTATGCTTGAATGAGAATATCGTATTTTAGTAATCCAGGGTCACCAAATTGGGGAGTGCAGGATACTGTAATTTCTTCATGTGTTGAAAGGAATGAAGGTGTGAACGCTTGGACTCGAATTCCCGTTCTCTTAGTCATCAGATGACAAATTAGCCCTCTCGGTTGTAATATATACCCAGCTGTAAGAAACTGGCTTTATTAAATGGCTTTATTAAGTGGCTTTATTAGTGGCTTTATTAAATGAGCCAAGTTGGCTCGATAAAATTCTAGTTGTTTGTCCGTTTTAGGTGAAAGCAGTTAATAAACGGTTCTTTTCACAGTTGGCAGTTTGAATACCATATTATTTACGGTTATTTGACTATTTTGTTCGAATGTGGTAAAATAACAATTAAATAAATTATTATTTAACAATTTGTTCCGGGAATTTTTTAAATGTTCGCAGTTATAAAACTCTTTTCCTAAAAGTATTTCAAAGTAAAAATAAATTGTTTTAATAGTTATTTATAATATTTATTATATAATTTTTCATTATGCAATACTTATTATATAGTTTCTAATTAATGAGAAAAATAATAAATTATGAAAATATACGAAAATTATACGATTTCATACTACGTAAGTTTAAATGACAATATTCAAAGACGATCGGTCAAATAGTTCTCGAATTAAGAAACTGAAAATACGACTTATTTTAAGTTTCATTGCTTAAACACCATTCGTTCAATCTCGTAAAAGTCGTGTATTTTGTCTTTCAAAATTACTAAGTTTAAAATGCTGTGAAATTTCGTATACCTTTTTCAATAGTCATTAAAGAAAATAATACAAAATATTAAAGAAATAAAGTTTAACATTCTCAATTATTTTTGCGAAACATTATTATTATTGTTTTAATATTGTCAGATGATATGAAGACAAAACTATTTATTTTTAATTTTCTTTCTTTCCTCGCGTTTGTTTATACGCTGTTCTTAGATTTTTTTATTTTTTCATATTGTTTTAAAATATTTTAGATAAAATTTATTTATTTTCTCTCTAGGGTGATAAATATATTCCTTTTGAATTCTTTACGTTTCAGCTTCAGTTTAATAAAGTTAATTATTAATGTAGCTCTAAACTAAATTTTATAAAGTTTATTCCAGCTTTCAATTTTATTATTATGTCCCATATGATTGCAAAATTATTCTTTGAAATGCCATACAGAATGACAATTACTGAAATAAATATAATTAACAATTGAAATATAAATGAAAGAATTATAGAAGCAGTTTATTCATTTGTGAGTTAAAGTATCCGACATGTTTCGACAACTTTTTTTTAAATATTAATATAAAATTTTAAATAACTATTTTATTTGTTTTATAATGTGTAAAAATTTACAAAACAAGCAAAAAAAATATTTATATTATTATTTTTTTTGAATTGCCATTTTCAGATTAAAAAATAAGACATTTTTTGCGTATACGCTAAACATTGTAAAAAAAATTTCTATTGTATAAAACAAAAAATCCTTTGAGGATTTTATTTAGAAGGCTGTCAACTATGTTTTAACTTATTATAGTAAAAGCAAGTGCATATACTACTGAGTTAGAGTACAATGTAGTTAAAAAATTGTAGAATAATTTACAGAACAATTATTAATCAGAAATCTGAAGAAAAAAAAAGAGAAATTTTCCTCTCTGCTTAATGATTTTCCTATAAATTTATAGTAATTGTTTCATTTTTTTTATTTAAAAAAAAGTGCACTTTAAAAGTGCACTTTTTGAAATATAAATAATATATATCAAAAACGTTACATTTTTTAATGTCTCATGCCATCAATATTTATACTGTTAAAAATGACTTAGTTAGATGAGTAAAATGACTTAAAAATGACTGAAACAGTTTGTCCCTATAGCATTTGATAGATCATAAAATAAACTATACCATAAAAGAAACTTCGTATTTTTATTAATCCTGTGCTTATTCGTCTTAATCCTCGTCTTATTGTTCTTAAACTTATTCATACTCTACTTCTATTTGCATTCGTAGGGATGTTTTGATGGAAATAACCCGCATTTGCGTTACATAGAGAGGAAAACCATGAAAGTCTCCTTTGGTTAGCCTGTCGGCAAGGGGACTCTAAACCATGATCCGTCTACTGTGTTTGGTGTGAACAGGGTGAGGAATTCTTATCGATCAGCCATCGCTGGAATTCGAACCCGGCTCACCTCATCGGAAGGCGAACGGTCTATTCCCTGAGAACGGTCTATTCCTATATATGCGATCTTTTAAATAAGATTCCTACATAAATA